TTCCTCGCCCGATAAAGGGTTAAGAAAAAAGGTTAGTATTACTCCAAATTCAGTTATCGTCCACGCGAACACACAATATGTATTAGGTGATGGTATCACATTAAGGATATATGGGAATATGTATGTCAAAATGTGGAGATACAGAAATGAAGCTGATATTTAAAAAGCTACCTAAACACACTGAAATCACTGTATTCATTTATCAGTACTCTTTTAAGTAGCACTGATCAGTTTGCAGCTGCCCTAGTGAACTAAACCAAGTCTGTTCAAACCAAAGCTGACTACGTATGTCTCATGATGTTGTAGTTAAGATCAGCAGCATAAGCCTGTTAATCTCGTACATTAAAAAAGTTTTGCATTGCTTGACTCAAACAAAACAACAGGCTTCCACAACACCTCTATCATCTTTGTTGGACAGCATATCAATTACCTCTAGTGGCTGGAGAGAGTGACAACATGCAGACTTGCGGATTTCAGCATAAAGGATCAGTTCACCCAAAAAAAATTCAGTTGAATTATATTGTTATGTGGTGTGCTTTTTGTTCTTCCTAGGACTCGGCCCTGGATCAGTGTTGCTGTAGCTGCATGGCAGTTTGGTCTTAATACCAGGCCAACAGTTGTTCCCACATTTGTCAAGGCATGTGTGTTATCAGTAATACATAATGAAATGTAAAATCGTTGCTAATAGGAGTTTCTTATTACTGTCTTCATTTAGGTTAAATGTACGTGTCAAATTCATTGCCTCGGGCAGTTAGAGCTAAATATAAGTAAATGGTTCTGAAGCTGCAAATGTTAAGTTCAAACTTGTATATCCAGTAGAGATATGGGGAAAAGAGGGAATTTAGTGTCTTTTCTATCACTGTCCCCCATTTTTGTATACTTACGATCTTGCTCTGGGTCTTTAAGCATAATACAGCTTGACTAATCCGATCATCATCGCACTTATCAGAGTTAATGCCATCAGTGAAATTAGTAATTAATGTCAGGAATTAGTCATGCCTTTGACAATGACACACAGTGATGAAATATTAAACTGCGACAAGAATAGGAATATTCATACAGCTCTTTTTGTCTGGTCGAGGGGCCTACTGTGGTTTTATTTGATTTGTCACACTGTCATCCATTTGCCTTATTGTATTGCAAGCTCTTGGATAGCTATTGCAGAAAAAGGCTTTACTTCTAGGTGGATAAATTGCTGGTCTTAAAGGGGAGGAGAGAAATGAATCAGAGCTCAATTGACTCTACCTTTCAGAGTCAGTTTAAATGTTTGTGAAAAATGCCAAAGATTTGTATTTTTAGTTTTTCCGTGCACTGATTTACAGACTACGTACAGTATGCACATAAACGGAACGGGACCGGGAACTATTGTCTTATAATTAAATATATTTATAAATCTTATAATCAGATGCTGCTTCACAGATAAGCCAAGAATGGAATGAGAAACTTGTCATTGATCAATCTCTTAAACACCTAAAGCAAAAAATCATTGCCATTTTAGAGTGGATCCAAAATTCCTTCTTTAAACAAGGGCAAGAGAAAATATATTGATTCACCCCTGAGATGTACTTTCTTGTTGAGTAAAAAAATGTATTGATTTACCCAGGGCTTTGTTGCTGA